ACTGCACTGTTATCCTTAAGGACAGTTAGGATATGCTAAGTTACACTCGAACTGCACTGTTAACCTTAACGACAGTTAGGATATGTTAAGTTACACTTGAACTGCACTGTTAACCTTAAGGACAGTTAGGATATGTTAAGTTACACTTGAACTGCACTGTTAACCTTAAGGACAGTTAGGATATGTTAAGTTACACTCGAACTGCACTGTTAACCTTAAGGACAGTTAGGATATGTTAAGTTACACTCAAACTGCACTGTTAACCTTAAGTACAGTTAGGATATGTTAAGTTACACTCGAACTGCACTGTTAACCTTAAACACAGTTAGGATATGTTAAGTTACACTCAAACTGCACTGTTAACCTTAAACACAGTTAGGATATGTTAAGTTACACTCGGACTGCACTGTTATCCTTAAGGACAGTTAGGATATGTTAAGTTACACTTGAACTGCACTGTTAACCTTAAGGACAGTTAGGATATGTTAAGTTACACTCGGACTGCACTGTTAACCTTAAGGACAGTTAGGATATGTTAAGTTATACACTCGGACTGCACTGTTAACCTTAAGGACAGTTAGGATATGTTAAGTTACACTCGAACTGCACTGTTAACCTTAAGGACAGTTAGGATATGTTAAGTTACACTCGAACTGCACTGTTAACCTTAAGGACAGTTAGGATATGTTAAGTTACACTCGAACTGCACTGTTAACCTTAAGGACAGTTAGGATATGTTAAGTTACACTCGGACTGCACTGTTATCCTTAAGGACAGTTAGGATATGTTAAGTTACACTCGGACTGCACTGTTATCCTTAAGGACAGTTAGGATATGTTAAGTTACACTCGGACTGCACTGTTATCCTTAAGGACAGTTAGGATATGTTAAGTTACACTCGGACTGCACTGTTATCCTTAAGGACAGTTAGGATATGTTAAGTTACACTCGGACTGCACTGTTAACCTTAAGGACAGTTAGGATATGTTAAGTTACACTCGGACTGCACTGTTAACCTTAAGGACAGTTGGGATATGTTAAGTTACACTCGAACTGCACTGTTAACCTTAAGGACAGTTGGGATATGTTAAGTTACACTCGAACTGCACTGTTAACCTTAAGAACAGTTAGGATATGTTAAGTTACACTTGAACTGCACTGTTAACCTTAAGGACAGTTAGGATATGTTAAGTTACACTCGGACTGCACTGTTAACCTTAAGGACAGTTAGGATATGTTAAGTTACACTTGAACTGCACTGTTAACCTTAAGGACAGTTAGGATATGTTAAGTTACACTCGGACTGCACTGTTAACCTTAAGGACAGTTGGGATATGTTAAGTTACACTCGAACTGCACTGTTAACCTTAAGGACAGTTGGGATATGTTAAGTTACACTCGAACTGCACTGTTAACCTTAAGAACAGTTAGGATATGTTAAGTTACACTTGAACTGCACTGTTAACCTTAAGGACAGTTGGGATATGTTAAGTTACACTTGAACTGCACTGTTAACCTTAAGGACAGTTAGGATATGTTAAGTTACACTCGGACTGCACTGTTAACCTTAAGGACAGTTGGGATATGTTGAGTGTACTGCACTGTTAACCTTAAGGACAGTTAGGATATGTTAAGTTACACTCGAACTGCACTGTTAACCTTAAGGACAGTTAGGATATGTTAAGTTACACTCGAACTGCACTGTTAACCTTAAGGACAGTTAGGATATGTTAAGTTACACTCGAACTGCACTGTTATCCTTAAGGACAGTTAGGATATGTTAAGTTATACACTCGAACTGCACTGTTAACCTTAAGGACAGTTAGGATATGTTAAGTTACACTCGAACTGCACTGTTAACCTTAAGGACAGTTAGGATATGTTAAGTTACACTCGAACTGCACTGTTAACCTTAAGGACAGTTAGGATATGTTAAGTTACACTCGAACTGCACTGTTATCCTTAAGGACAGTTAGGATATGTTAAGTTACACTCGAACTGCACTGTTAACCTTAAGGACAGTTAGGATATGTTAAGTTACACTCGAACTGCACTGTTAACCTTAAGGACAGTTAGGATATGTTAAGTTACACTCGAACTGCACTGTTAACCTTAAGGACAGTTAGGATATGTTAAGTTACACTCGAACTGCACTGTTAACCTTAAGGACAGTTAGGATATGTTAAGTTACACTCGGACTGCACTGTTATCCTTAAGGACAGTTAGGATATGTAAGTTACACTGGGACTGCACTGTTATCTTAAGGACAGATAGGATATGTTAAGTTACACTCGGACACTCTGTTAACCTTAAGGACAGTTAAGGATATGTTAAGTTACACTTGAACTGCACTGTTAACCTTAAGGACAGTTAGGATATGTTAAGTTACACTCGGACTGCACTGTTATCCTTAAGGACAGTTAGGATATGTTAAGTTACACTCGGACTGCACTGTTATCCTTAAGGACAGTTAGGATATGTTAAGTTACACTCGGACTGCACTGTTAACCTTAAGGACAGTTAGGATATGTTAAGTTACACTCGAACTGCACTGTTAACCTTAAGGACAGTTAGGATATGTTAAGTTACACTCGGACTGCACTGTTATCCTTAAGGACAGTTAGGATATGTTAAGTTACACTCGGACTGCACTGTTATCCTTAAGGACAGTTAGGATATGTTAAGTTACACTCGGACTGCACTGTTAACCTTAAGGACAGTTAGGATATGTTAAGTTACACTCAAACTGCACTGTTAACCTTAAGGACAGTTAGGATATGCTAAGTTACACTTGAACTGCACTGTTAACCTTAAGGACAGTTAGGATATGTTAAGTTACACTCGAACTGCACTGTTAACCTTAAGGACAGTTAGGATATGTTAAGTTACACTCGGACTGCACTGTTATCCTTAAGGACAGTTAGGATATGTTAAGTTACACTCGGACTGCACTGTTAACCTTAAGGACAGTTAGGATATGTTAAGTTACACTCGAACTGCACTGTTAACCTTAAGGACAGTTAGGATATGTTAAGTTACACTCGAACTGCACTGTTAACCTTAAGGACAGTTAGGATATGTTAAGTTACACTCGAACTGCACTGTTATCCTTAAGGACAGTTAGGATATGTTAAGTTACACTCGGACTGCACTGTTATCCTTAAGGACAGTTAGGATATGTTAAGTTACACTCGGACTGCACTGTTATCCTTAAGGACAGTTAGGATATGTTAAGTTACACTCGAACTGCACTGTTAACCTTAAGGACAGTTAGGATATGTTAAGTTACACTTGAACTGCACTGTTAAACTTAAGGACAGTTAGGATATGTTAAGTTACACTCGAACTGCACTGTTAACCTTAAGGACAGTTAGGATATGTTAAGTTACACTCGAACTGCACTGTTAACCTTAAGGACAGTTAGGATATGTTAAGTTACACTCGGACTGCACTGTTAACCTTAAGGACAGTTAGGATATGTTAAGTTACACTCGAACTGCACTGTTAACCTTAAGGACAGTTAGGATATGTTAAGTTACACTCGAACTGCACTGTTAACCTTAAGGACAGTTAGGATATGTTAAGTTACACTCGAACTGCACTGTTAACCTTAAGGACAGTTAGGATATGTTAAGTTACACTCGAACTGCACTGTTAACCTTAAGGACAGTTAGGATATGTTAAGTTACACTTGAACTGCACTGTTAAACTTAAGGACAGTTAGGATATGTTAAGTTACACTCGAACTGCACTGTTAACCTTAAGGACAGTTAGGATATGTTAAGTTACACTCGAACTGCACTGTTAACCTTAAGGACAGTTAGGATATGTTAAGTTACACTCGGACTGCACTGTTAACCTTAAGGACAGTTAGGATATGTTAAGTTACACTCGAACTGCACTGTTAACCTTAAGGACAGTTAGGATATGTTAAGTTACACTTGAACTGCACTGTTAACCTTAAGGACAGTTAGGATATGTTAAGTTACACTTGAACTGCACTGTTAACCTTAAGGACAGTTAGGATATGTTAAGTTACACTCGAACTGCACTGTTAACCTTAAGGACAGTTAGGATATGTTAAGTTACACTCGGACTGCACTGTTAACCTTAAGGACAGTTAGGATATGTTAAGTTACACTCGAACTGCACTGTTAACCTTAAGGACAGTTAGGATATGTTAAGTTACACTCGGACTGCACTGTTATCCTTAAGGACAGTTAGGATATGTTAAGTTACACTCGGACTGCACTGTTAACCTTAAGGACAGTTGGGATATGTTAAGTTACACTCGAACTGCACTGTTAACCTTAAGGACAGTTAGGATATGTTAAGTTACACTCGGACTGCACTGTTAACCTTAAGGACAGTTAGGATATGTTAAGTTACACTTGAACTGCACTGTTAACCTTAAGGACAGTTAGGATATGTTAAGTTACACTCGAACTGCACTGTTAACCTTAAGGACAGTTAGGATATGTTAAGTTACACTCGAACTGCACTGTTAACCTTAAGGACAGTTAGGATATGTTAAGTTACACTCGAACTGCACTGTTAACCTTAAGGACAGTTAGGATATGTTAAGTTACACTCGAACTGCACTGTTAACCTTAAGGACAGTTAGGATATGTTGCATATGCATGTCAATCAACTGACCAATAAGCATGCCGGACGGAACACCATGGTACTGACACCTACCATGTGATGCTACGATTGTGGATGGTGATATGAGTGATATTATATTGTAATAGAATAACAAGAGATAAAAACATGCAGTATACACTGTACAAAAGATGACATGAGTCAGAGCCTGTTAAGTTTACAGTCTCAAATGAAATGGAAAGTGATAATCTAACTAGTTGCATCTTACTTTTTTCATAGTGATTAGGATGCTTCAAAAACATAATTTATGTTGTATTACAAAACACTATGTTTGATTACATTAACATTGATTTAGTTCTGAATATCAAATCTTGGTATCATTTTATCCCAAAACTTACCTCTGCTGATGCCCATCGTAATTTGTCCAACTTGGATAAAATCCAGCTGCCATTGATATGCTTGTCATCTGTGACTTTATTGTACATAGTAAACATGGACTCTGCAGCATGCAGAGTTGCCTGACTATGTCTAGATAAACCTTTAAGATAATTTCGAGATGAATAGAAGCCAGTCCAAGCTGAGTGAGGATCTGTTTATATTTAAGCAAATAAGAATTAATATATACACTGTAACCTTGTTATAATGAACATATTGCATGTCTCATGCTCATAACAAACCCAAGAAATTTCCCCCAAATAGTTTGTTCTACAGTATAATTCCATGTCCTATTAAGTTCTGCTGATAAAGTAGTGCAAAATGCACGTCACTAGTCCATTATTTATGTTACGTACTGATTACAATGGAATGAACTTCTTTGCAACAAGGGGCATGAGGTTGTCAAAACTAGACAGAAGTATTGGTCTTAAAATATTGCAAGTGCATTAGATGATGCAAAGACAATCAATACAAATATTACTTGAATATACATGTAATCACAGTCCCTCTATCCCCGGTCTGGAAATGACTAGCGTTCTTTTGTCTCGAACCGCAGTGCGGGTAAACAA